ATGCAGCGGCACGCACTGCTAATGCTGCCAAGGACGGGCACAGAAGCACATAAAGCACACCAGTGGCACCACGCAGGAAGAATGCCTCTAAGTGTGGGCTTGAGAGGCAGAGCAGGCAGTGCAAAACACTTCAGAGGATCTTAGGGAAACTAGAGTGAAACTGAGAAGACAATCCAGAGCTCACTAGGCCGAGCGGGGTTCAATCCTCAGTACTCCATAGGCTCTCCAAGCCTCACTGGGAGTGATCCCTGAGTGCAGAGCTGGATTAAGTTTCAGAACAGCTGGGGGTGGCAACCCTTTGCTGCCCCCCACCCCCCAAATAGAGAAGAGCTCTATGCAGAATGGAACCAAAAAAATTTTTTTTTCTCAACCTTATGAAGCATCCTCTTCCTATAGCCTTAAATATTTCTGGGGGCCAGAGATATAGTACAGTGGGCAGAACGCTTGCAGCAGAACCAGTTTTGATCAGCATCACATACAGTTTCCAGAGCAATGCCAGGAGTGAACTCTGAGCACAGAGCCAGAAATAGGTCCTGAGCACTGCTGAGTGAAACACCCCAAAACCTCAATTATTCCTGGTGTTTATATTATATTCATCAATATCATAATTTAATTTTGTATAATATTAATGGGCTGGTGCAATAGCACAGTGAGTAGGGCCTAGCATGTGGCTGACTCAGATTCGATTCTTCTGTCCCTCTTGGAGAGCCCTGCAAGCTACCGAGAGTATCCCGCCCACATGGCAGAGCCTGGCAAGCTCCCCGTGGCGTATTCAAGATGCCAAAAACAGTAACAAGTCTCACAATGGAGACATTACTGGTACCCACTCAAGCAAATTGATGAACAACGGGAGGACAATGCTACAGTGCTATAATATTAATGACATTTTAGATATAATTCTTAATTTCTATTATTAACTTCAGTTAAAAGGTACAAACTTCCAAGTAGATCTTTCTGGAAAGTTTGGTGAGTGACATTTTCTGAGCTCCTGAATATTTCAGCATGTCATTTCTACTGCCTTCATTCATAAAAATTTCATGACCTGACTCTATATAATAAAGTGGGGTCACAGCCTTTTCCTCTCAAAACTCTGTAGGTGATATTCCATTTGGCTTCTATGGAGAAGTGTAAAGTTGGCCTGATTTTAGCATGTCAAAGAAAATGGCAAAACTGCCAAGGTTTTCATTGTTTTCTTTCAAGCTCAGCTACTTACTGTTCTACCCCCAAGAGCACATCAAAGTCATGTGTCTTTTTTTTTTGTAGTTTCCTGCTTTCTGCCCTGCACATCTATTATCTTATATGACATCATTTTAAACGTTTCCACCTTTGTTTAGCATTTAAGAAACGCTTACCCTGTCTGTCTTCCACATTAGAGATGAGATTTCCCTGTAAATATGTTTTTATCTGCTGGGTCTGGGAACTTAATGTGGCGGTTGCATTTCTAAATTTCATTATTCCCTCCATTAGCTGTTTCTTGGCATTTTCTTTGAGGATGATAGTCCTTTCTGATTCTTCTCTGTTCTGGTTTAGATGAACTATATTTCCTTACAGTCCACAGTGAGGGCTGGTCATTTTTTTTTTCCTACAGGACTTCTTCATTCCCTTGGGAATCCTCAGGATCATTTCTCTGTCTCGCCTTTTCTTTGCAAAATATTAATGGCCCCTGTCAAACTGATGCTTCGTGCTTTATTGATAAAAGTTGTACAAAGAAAAGGTGTGGGACATGCTAAGGGAAAAGGGAGCTCAGATAGAGAAGGGAGCACCAAATAAAGGGCGTTGGGAGGATCCTCCCAGGATGGGAGAAGCATGCTGAAAGTAGACTATAGACCAAATATGATTGCCACTCAATGCCTCTTTTGCAAACCACAATATCCAAAAGGAGAGAGAGAACAAAAGGGAATCCCCTGCCACAGAGGCAGGGTGGGATGGGGGGAATGAAGTGTGGGAGTGATACTGGGACCCCTGGTGGTGGAAAATGGGCACTGGTGGAGGGATGGGTATTTGATCACTGTATAACTGAAACCCGAGCACAAAAATTTGTAAGTCTACAAATTTAACTCATGGTGTTTCATTAATAAAAATTTAAAAAAAAAGAAAAGGTGTGGGACAAATTAGAAGGCGCATGCAACAGGCTGGACCAATTTTCAGAATCTATCAGGCTTCCACATACTTTGATTTGATAGAGGTGCTATAGGCTTTCCTTTTCTGGACAATTCCTAGTCTAAGCAGATGACACTTCTATTCCCCTCTAAGGAAATATTTTATTTAGAAGCACTGCTCCATAGTCTTCACCAAAACCACTGACCGGCCCTTTTCATAGCTTTGCATTGTTTTTTTTGCATGAACATTTAACAAAAGAGAAGTGGAGAGTAAGGAGAGAGAACAGGGTGTGTGGACTGGATTACTTTAGTGTTAAAATAGAATGAGATAGAATACAGGAGTGATGGCTGCTAGAATTCATGGACTTAATGGCTGTGTTTTCCCTTTTCTCCACTCATCGCTTCCCTTGGGGATCTGCTGTCAGAAATGGAAAGAGACACAGAGACACAGGTGGGGATTATCCCACGACTGCACCACGGACCAGCATACAGACATGCAGGGCAGCTTCTCAGCCTCCACCATTTTCCGAAACTCTTGAATGACCAGGCAGATTGGTGGAGCTGACCGGAGAAAGATTCCTAGGCTTGCATTTTATTTCCTTTTTCACTGGCTCTGCTTTGAGATGAAAAAAGGTATTAGTGGTCCCCCAGCTAAGATTTCCAATCCCCAAATGTGAAGCCAGGAACTAGTAATGTTATATAGAGTATGTGGTGGAAATAAAATAGTACAGTGAAAGCTCCTCATTTCCCATTTTTTGTTTCATTCTAGATGTGTTCGTGGGAATGGCTATGTCCAAAGGTAGATATAGCTTTCAGGTGCTATTTTCTAAAATAAAACCTCATCCTAAATTTTTTAACATGATTCATCTGATAACTCCCTTCTTTGATTCTCAGCCAAAAAGTGGTACCAGATCCCTCAACTAATGTTCATTTGTTGGCCTCTTTTCTCATTCTATAGCCACTACAAAGAATGGTAATCTCTCTAAGCCCATGAAATAAGGTGGGCTCTGGGGTCAGAGAGACAGTACAGTGGGTAGGGTACTTGGCCTAATGCAGCTGACCCGGGTTCAACCCCCAGAACCCCAGGTGGTCCCTTGAGAACCATCAGAGCAATATCTGAGTGCAGAGCCAGAAATAACCTTGAGCATTGCTAGCTGAAGCCAAAACAAACAAACAAACAAACAAACAAACAACACAGGGTGGGTTTTAATTTTCCACAGTTCTAGAATGCTAAAAGTTGAAGTTAATAATTCTTTTATGACTTTAAAGATCCATATGCCATATTCCTGTAACCTATAAGTTTGTTTTTCCTTTTCTTTTTTAAAGTCCATTGTATTTTATTTTTTATTCTTTAAATTTTTTGAAATGAATGGTTTTTTTGTAAAGCTGTTCACTATTGGATTTCAGTCATACAGTATTCCAACACACATCCCTCCACCAGTATACATCAGGTGCTTTTCTCTCTCTCTCTCTCTCTCTCTCTCTCTCTATCTATCTCTCTCTATCTCTCTTGGACACTGTAGTTTTCAATATTGATACTGAAAAGTTGTTTATACCTTTTAAAATTTATTAAATCAGCAATTTTCTCTTCCTCCTAGTTCTAAGAAGGGATATTATCAGAATAATTGGAGGACAGTATCAGAATATTTGGCTTACATTTATTCATTCTTGCATCTGGTTGTGATATATTCCAGGATACATTACTCTTCTAGCCTGAGTCAAAACCTGATTGTTTTCTAATTATTACTTCTCTGCTATCCATAAATACCCATCTCCTTGTCGCCCTTTCAATCATTATGTTCCCAGATTGGAATTCTTATAATCAAGTTTTGATTTTCCTAAAACCCAGGTTCTCGTTTCTAATTTTCATTCTCATTTGGAGAGCAAATATATTGCAGTTATAGTACCCTAACCAATATTATTAGGTAAGACCTGCCCTGTTCATAGTATGCTCATTACTTTAAATAAATATCATCCCTAGTAATTACAGCATCAACTAAAAGGGTACCATTTTTTAAAGAACCTGACACATTAATATGATCTTAAGATAGGAACTCAAAATTTGAACACTTTTTAATCTGCTATATGTTCCAGCAATTACAAGATATTAACCACTACCTAAGTATATGCTAGTATCCAGGATTTAGGGCTTTACTGGTATTTAACATAATGAAACATTCACTTTTTAAAAGTCATTAGAGATTTATAAGGTAGAAAAAATTGACTAGCTATGGCTCAGATACATTCTTATCTATAAGTACTCAAATCTTCCTGTCTGATAGCAACAGAATAACACATTTTATTTTAGCACAATACTGTCCATTCATATAGCATACTTCATCAATCACCCTAAAGAGTGTTTTAGACCAACAAATACTATCTGGAAGACTTGTTACAAATGAATAGTCTCTTACAAAAAATCAGATAGAAAATCCTTAAAGAAATAGTAACCATAGTAGATGAGATCATGATATAAGAACTAATCACAAGGTCAAGGGTGAGTTAAACTTGTAAGCTATACAAAAAGAAATAATGCAATCTACAAATTGTACATAATTTTAAACATTTCTATAGAAATATTTAAAAAATAAGGAAGTAGAGCACTCTAGCAACATTTTTAAGCTGGTATATCCAAAATGTTAACATTTCATCATGAATCCAGTCTTTTTGGCTTGTGTGCTGAGAATTTAAAAATGGGGAGTACATTCTGACACCAAATATCTCTAATAAGACTAGTCACATTTATAGTCAGCAATAACAAATGAGAGCAAAGGATCTCTATATTGGATATCACTATATATATATCTATATACATATATATATAGTCTCATCTTCAGAGAAAATGTTTTGCAGAAAAAAAATTAGTAATGTGAGAAAAAATAATGACTTATTTTTCCTTACCTACACGAATCCTCTTTAATGTGAAGAGCGATCAATTCCTTAGGAATATGGAAAGAAAGGATACTCTCAGACATCTGCTCCCGAATCCGCATCCACTTATTGTCAGATGTGGGAAATCTATATAACTTACACACCGGGTTCTTTAGCACTAGAAAGGAAGGCAAAATAAAGGTCAGTACTTACATCACACATATATGCACATTAGGAGAAGATCATCCAACAAAACCAGCAGTCAATGTGACATCCTATTTATTTGACAATTTTATCATAATACATTATGACCATACCTGAATTTCTGAGACTTCTGCTCTCACTTCCTTTTCCCCCCTTACATTAACCTCTAGGACTTTTAGTCTTTATTAGACCCAAATAAGATTCCAAATCGCAAACATTGCTACTGTTTCTTCTGTAATTTACCACCTATTTTTTTCTCTTCTAGAGACTTTCCTAGATTATGTACTTATAAATATGAATGAAGCTACACAAATTTTTACATAATACACACTTTTGAATTTCTCCCAATATTTCTTTGTTAAGTTGGCCATTTACAAAGTAGGCGAAAATTGACAGGACACTTCAGTGGTTTTCTGTGGCCCTACTTCTAGATAGGAGTCATTTCTGGGTTCTTCTGGGTTGTTAGGAGAGCTAAGGTCAAATCTGGCAGTGACCGGGGCTAACTAAGTACTGGCCCAGTACTCAGGGATCAGTTCTGACATTGAATGTGAACAGGGATCAGCCTTAACCCCTGTACTCCCTCCTGCCCAGGAATTGTTCCTTAAATCAAGGTGTTGACTCCTTTCCTTAAACTCTATTAAAATTCAAATAATATGTGTCTTTCAGTGCCAACTGCTCAACACAAAACTTTTCTGAATTCGCATAAGAAGCAAGACAGGGTGACTATGAACATTAACTGTGTATTTAGGGTATGCGGGCAATAAATGAAGAATAAGGAACAAAGTCATACCATCTGGAACGGATGGAAGGGAAAAGAATAAGGTGACAAAAAAATAAGAAAAGCAGAGATTTATATAGATAACCTCTTTGTGTGAGATAATCCTACAACACCCCAAGTCGTATATTTCACTCTAGGATTTTATTCCCACTGCTAAGAGGCAATGAATGTCTTTGTTACACTCATAAACCAAAGCTTAAGGAGCAATAAATTAGAAGACCAATCACCAGGAAAGGATCTACGACTGTTTGGCTTCAATTTACCAATAAAGCCAAATCAAAATAGAGATGGATATTGAATGCAAGACTTAGAGAATGCCAAGCAAACCACTTGTGTGGGCCAAGTCTCCGCAATGTATAGGAGAAAATGTCTTTTGTAATTTCAGAATTTTATAAAATGATCTCGTTCACTATTTTTTTACCATAAAGTATATTTTTGAACTTTATAATGATATCTCTTCATCTATTCCACTGCAACCATTCACTCACACAGGTATAGCTACACATTATGAGAATTAATAACTGCATCGGAAACATTGATATCAAATACCTTTTTCTTCAATGATCAGATATAAACCTTCCAATATATCTATCTACTCCCTACTGGGAGTTAACTAGGGTGCTCACTTTGAAAAGTGCCAATAAAAGGCAGAAGACAATAGAGAACTACCAGTATGATGCCAGGCCCCATTAGAATCTAGAATTGTATTGATAACGAGATTTTATACAACTATTTTGTTTGTTTGGGGGAAATGCCAAGTGGTGATTGGAGGCCACGCCCTGCTGCTCTGAGCTTGGGGTCATACCTGCAGTGCTTGGAGGCCCATGAAATATCAGATTGATTTTAGAGTTCCCTCATAAAAAGCAAACACTCAGCCATCTAAGTCGCCCATCTAACCATTAAAGATATTTTTAACATAAGCAGAATCTGTAAGTTTCCTCGACAGTTTGCATCAATGATCCATATGTTAGGTTCACTGTCTATAGCACTGTCCCATTGTTCATTGATTTGCTCAAGCGGGCACCAGTAACATATTCATTGTGAGACTTGTTGTTACTGTTTTTGGCATATTGAACATGTCACAGGTAGCTTGCCAGGTTTTGCCATGCAGGCGGGATACTCTTGGTAGCTTGCCAGGTTCTCTGAGAGGGGCGGAGGAATCCAACTTGGGTCAGATGAGTGCAAGGCAAATGCCCTGCCGGCTATGCTATTGCTCCAGCCTCATGTAAGTTTGCTCGAGCAGGCCCAGTAATGTCTCCATTGGAGACTTTGTTGTTACTGTGTCTGGCATATCGAATACTCTCGGTAGCTTGCCGGGCTCTCTGAGAGGGGCGGAGGAATCGAAATTGGGTCAGCCATGTTGGCTGCGTGCAAGGCAGACGCCCTACCCGCTGTGCTATCTCCAGCCCCATGTAAGGTTAATTATATTTATTTCCTTTCACATAGAATAATGAAACTTATGTAGAAACTGAGGTTTCATTCATTTTAAGTGACAATGTGAGAAAGAAAAGAATTTTCTATAATCTCTACTGTCCAGTCTTGAGTTGGGAAAGAAAACCAAGAATGCATTGAATTCAATATATGTCAGTCAGTTTAAACCACTGATGGGATTTCATGGATTCTAATGCATCCTTTTATAGTAAGGTATAAACCCAATCTCTAAAATATCCAAGTCTGTCCAAAGTAGCTAAGTAATGATCCACATAATTTTTTTGTTTATGTTTGTATGTTATACTCTTTAATTTCTGTCCCCCATTCCCCCAATTACACAGATCCTTTGTATTTGAAATTTTCTAAGAATATTTTAAAAAAATTCTTTGATTTTTCTTGTCTTTTATAAAATAATGATTTTAATAAGACTTGTGTTTTAAATTATAAAATAAAATGCAATTCTTCATTTTCTCTATTGATTCCTGAATAAATCCCTCCGGGCTTGTGATTTTATAGCTTTCATTTTAATTCCTTCTGTGTTCTAAATAAGTCTTTGTTGCCGAATTTAAGCAAAATCCAAGGACGGTTTGATTAACGCGCTCCCACATGCTCCTTTCACCACCCAGAGCAAGTCGCAGAAGACCTCTGTGTGAACACCGCTATTTCTAAGAAAAAATACTTTGAGCAAATAACTTAAAACATGGGCAACTTGGTATTCAAAAATCTATCCAATTCATGTTATAGGTTTTGACCTTTTGAAATTCACAGGTCTCTGTGCATCTTTTCATTGGGATCTCAATGCAGATATATTAGGACCCACTTTACAAACTAATTTAATCCAACTGCATTCCTTACAGAACACCTACTGGTATATAAAGTAAGAACACCTCCTGAGATACCCAAAATACCAAAACCGTGGAGTCTGACTTTTAAAAGAAGTGAAAATATATTGCATTTTAATGAGCATGTAACTTTGTTGCACTGACTGCAACAAAAAGGAGCAGAGGAAATGCTTCCAATTCAAAATCCTTGGATTGATTGTGGGCAAATTTAGCCACATGTTAAGGAATGATATGGTACTTGTATACAACTAATAAAAAATAGAACACAAATGTTGACTCCTCTTTGTAAATATTTTAATGATTTCCCTCTATAGCAGTGATAGAATTTCCACTATCCTGCACACTTTCCATATGTAAATACTCTCTCACCTTGGACTCTAGAATTCCACTGGTGGTGAGTTTTCTCAAATAGAAAATGCATTTATAACAATACTATAGGTTCAAAGCAGCAACAAAAAACATGTAACATTCAATATAAGCTCTTTCTACAGAGAAGCCTATGCAGAATCATATGTTCTTTCATGGCTTTTGCCAAAAAGAAGTGTCAAACATATCATATGATGATTCAACCAGGAGAAACATCTAATGGAGATGTTTAGGATCACATTCTAGTATTGTGATGAATTTTTTTTGGGGGGTCACACCCAGCGATGCACAGGAGTTACTCCTGGTTCATGCACTCAGGAATTACTCCTGGCGGTGCTTGGGGGACCATATGGGATGCTGGGAATCGAACCAGGATCGGCCTGGGTCGGCCGCATGCAAGGCAAACGCCCTACCCGATCTGCTATCACTCCAGCCCCTTGTGATGAAATTTTGAGTAAAGTTGATCTCCTTACAGTTCCCCGAGGCTCTGTTACCTAAGGGGGACACTGGAAAGAAAGAACTGGTTTTTTTTTCCCCACCCCAGATCACAGCAAAGTTCCTATTTCTGTACTGTCTCTCTCAGACTATGTAACCAGGCTTTCTAACAAGGTAACTGCCACATCTGACTTCTCACAGGATACAACAATTCTGAAAGCCAAGGTCTTTGATTCTGAATTATCCAAAGTAAAGCTACGAAAAAAGCTCCACAAAATCAACACATTGTTGATTCAATTTACACATTGAATAAACAAAAAAATAAATGAAGCAGAGCTAGCAAGTTGGACGAATAAAGATAAACCAGAGAGACGTCATAGGGATCATTTTTCCTTTGACTTTCTTTTCGCTGTCACTGGATTGGACAAAATCGGAAAATTGGAAATTTTGATATAGGGGTGAAGGAATCATCAAAACGTTCAAATCACAGTCTTTAATATACTTCTCCAGAGGAAGCTCGTCTGTGACTATCTTCACACACTTTCGTGTTTTCATGAGGTAGTAGAAGCCTGATATTTCAATGGAATCTGACTTTATTGGCTTTAAGCTTTACCGAATCAGTATTTTAATGTACTGAAGATCCTTGCAGGGCATCTATTCATTTGCCAGCTTTAATTATGCAGTTGTTTAATAGTTTAATTATTCAGCTGAATGTACATACATTGCCTATTCTCCAAATGCTGCATTATACTTACTAAAGATAAGTCTGTGTAATCCAATTAGATACTGACACTGCCTCATTTGTACAGAAAGATATGTTAGATTTATGAACATCTTAAACAAAGGCTGGCTCTTCCTAAGATTGGATGAGAACTGAAAAATGTAAGTAGCAGTCACTAAAATGCCACCATAAGCATGGCCTAAGAAAAAGGCAGGGTAAGAAAACTCGAGAAGCAGTCTGAGGAAGTGACTCAGCGGTACAGTTCTTTCTTGTACGTGTGAGGTCAGACATAAGTTAGAGCCCAAGCTCTGCTTCACACAGCAAGTGTAAACCCTGGCATCACAGTTGTACCTCTTGCACAGCACAAGCACACATGTGGACACCACAATCAATTGTGCAAA